GGTTAAAGTCTGTTTGCAAACAAAACATTAAAATACCAACTTTAAAAACTAATTTGAATAACTACTTTCTTTCAGTTGAAAATCCTTGGTTAAGTTCAATAAACACTCTAAAATAACTTATAAAATAAAGAACGGGTTGCCAGAACCTATCTTTAATAAGATAGCGAGTTTGAAAAATCCCCGTTTTTGTTCAACTTGAAATTTCTAAAAGAAAATGGGAAATTTTTCTCTATTTTACAGCTCAAAACACTCACCGCCACGATGCCAGCTGTCTATATGATCCCGTTTTCAAGTACAACTTCAATTCTATTCCAAATATGGCTGCATTCTTAATCCCAGAAAATAAAGACATTGATTATATGCTTCCTTTTATTATACAGTACATTGAAAATTTTTTCTGTCCACATATTACAAAAAAAAATTTGAAGTCTACAAAGATGCAAAAATATTCTAAGTCCATTAAACATTGGAAAACATTTCTTAGTCCACAACACAGAAATTATTCTAAATCCACACACATGATAAAAAATACTAAGTCTACAAAGGATGAGAAATTTTCTCAAGTCCACAAAAACATAAAAAATTATTCTAAGTCCACAACACATGAAAAATATACTAAGTCCACACACATGATAAAAAGACTAGCCTGGCACCACATAAAATATTCTAAGTCCACAAAGGATAAAAAATATTAAGTCCACAAATATGTAAAATTTTTTCTACACACAAGCATTAAAAATTTTTTTTAAGTCCACAAAGGATGAATAAATTTAAGTCCACATACATTATAAAATACTAAGTCCACAAAGTTGAAAATTCTTCCAAGTCTGACAAATTTAGTAATTTTCTAAGTCCACAGCGTTGATAAAAATATTCTAAGTCCAGTACATTGAAAAAATTATAAGCCCATGAACAAATAAAAATTTTTCTAAGTCCACAAGGCATGAAAACTTCTTCCAAGTCCACAAAGGATAAAAAAGAAGTCCACAAAGAAAGACATTTCTTGTCCACAAAAGATAAGGGCAATTATTCTAAGTTCACAGTGGATGCAGAAATTTTCCAAGTCCATTACGAAAAATATTCTAAGTCCACAAAGGATAAAAAAATATTCCTAAGTCCATACACATTGAAAAAATTAAGCCCACAACAAATAAAAAATTTCTAAGTCCACAAGGCATGAAAAACTTTCAAGTCCACAAAGGATAAAGCAAAAATAAGTCCACAAGAGTGACATTTTCTAAGTCCAATAAAGATAAAATTATTTCTAAGTCTATTAAAGGATGGTAAAATTTTCCAAGTCCACAAATACGAAAATATTCTAAGTTCACAAGGATAAAAAATACCAACTCCACAAAGGGTTGAACATTTCTAAGTCCACACAGGATACTTAAATTTTTTCTAAACCACAAAGGATAAAAATTTAACTCACACATTATTTTTTCTAAGTCCACACACATTGAACAAATTATTATAAGTCTGACAACAGCGCAAACAAATTTCGAAGTCTGGCTGAACTTATTAATTTCTTCTAACTCAATAATAATAATATTGAAAAAATTGATATAAACCCCATTGCGAAAAATTTCGAAGTCTACAAGCCATGAAAAATATATACTATCCACAAAGGACAACAACATTCTAAATCCACACATTATTTTTTCTAAGTCCACACACATTGAACAAATTATTATAAGTCCACAAACAAATGAATAAATTCTTTAAGTCCACAAGGCATGAAAATTTTTCCAAGTCCACAAAAGATACAAAAATACTAAGTCCACATGAACAATTTCTATGTCCACACAGGATACAAAAATATTCTAATCCACAAACATTAAAAAAAAATACCAAATACACAAAGGATAAAAATACTAAGTCCACATAGCATAAAATAATACTAAGTCCACAGAGGATAACAATTATTCTAAGTCCACACAACATAAACACATACTAAGTCCACATACATCATAAATTATTCAAAGTACACATACATTGAAAACTAATCTAAGTCCACACATGATACAAAAATATTATAAGTCCACAAACATTATAAATTATTCCAAGTCCACAAACATAATAAAATAATACTAAGCCACAAACGAAAAAAAAATTTCTATGTCCACAAAGGACAACAAATATTCAAACTCCACAACGGATAAAATAATACTAAGTCCACAAACATGAAAAACATACTAAGTCCACATACATTGAACATTATTCAAAATACACAAAGGGTAAAATAATGCTAAGTCCACAAACATCATCAATTATTCAAAGTCCACATACATTGAACATTATTCTAGGTCCACACAGGATAAAAATTACTCAAAGTCCACACAACATGAACAAGAGACTGAGTCCACATTCAAAATTATTCTATGTCCACAAACAATAAAATAATACCAAGTCCACAGAGATTGAAAATTATTCTAAGTCCACAGAGGATAAAATAATACTAAGTCCACAAAGGATAACAAATATTCAAAGTCCACAAACATCATTACAGTAATTATTCCAAGTCCACATAAATTGAACATTATTCTACGTACACAAACGATGAGAAATTTTCAAAGGATGATAAATATTCAAAGTCCACACAGGATAAAAAAGTATTCAAACTCCACAAACATTATACATTATTCGAAGTCCACAAAGGATCAAAACTATTCAAAGTCCACAAACATCATAAATTATTCAAAGTCCACACGCGATAAGAAATTAGTCAAATTCCACGAGCGTAATACGTTATTCTCGGTCCGCGTGCGTCGATAATTATTACCGGTCCTCGGACCCGACGAATGAACTTCCCAGTCCGCGCACGCGCAAAAAATATACCCAGTCCACAAAAGGCAAAACAAATTCAAAGTCGACACACATTATCAATTATTCAAAGTCCACAAAAGTTAACAATTTCAAGTCCACAAATATGAACATTATACAAAGTCCACAAAATATCTCAATTATTCAAAGTCCACATATATGCAACACATTTTCCAAGTCCACAAAACAAAATAGATTCAAACTCCACAAATAATTAACTTTCATCGACAAGAAAACATTTTTTTACGACTCCACAAATAATTCTACGACGAAAAAAAAATAACTCCGCGACTCCCGCGATTTATTGCGGCCGTTCCGATCGATTCGTACCACGCGCCAAATTCCGAGTCGACGCGGAACTCCCTTCAAATTAAAATCCATAACTACTACACAATAAAACATTTCATGCTCATCAATTTCACAAGTCCACAACATTAACTTACACTCTTCCACTATTTCCCGATATATAACTACCCAAACGCAACGCGACGATTCGCCCGACGCATTTCTACACGCGTGCACGTCGCGACTGCGTATTCAAACTAAAGACGATACGTGCATTCTCGACCTCGATGACAATTACTTTCCAAATCTAAACATAACTCCTCTTCTTAACAACAAAATTTAGTCAAATATCAACACAATATATCTACTTCACACTCACAACATATTTATAACAACACAAATAAATACAATCCAACATACACACAGCAGCAGTAATACAACCACGTATACAGGGACACAAAAACGACCAACAAAGGGCAACAAAGGGAAAGAAAGCAACAACAACAAAAAACAAACAAACGGGAATAACAACAGGATCAAGAGGAATGGGAAGGTGAGAAACAAGAAGGGAATCACAATCAAACAGAGGAGGAGGAGGAGGAGGAACAGAGGGAGAACAAGCAAAAGAATAAACAAGGAAACGAGGAAGACATAAGGCGAAGAGGAGGGGGGGGGACAAAGAGCAGGAGTAAAAGAAGGAAACAGGAAGAAGAGGAGGAGGGACAGAAGCAGGTAGGGGGGACAAAGACGAAGGGAGTCACAATGAAACGGAGGGACAAGAAACCACTCGACGAACAAAGAAACGAGGAGGACAGGGAGGCAGAGGGAAAAAACAAAAAAAGGGAGGGCTTACAAATTCAACATTGTGCTCGTATTCCTTCCCCTTCCACTTATCCTACTCGTCCACCAAATTTTTTTATTATACAAACGCCTTAACACGAGTGGAGCAACACGGAGTACACGTGAACGAGTATAAATTCATGCCAAATAAATGAAACTACTATTAACCAAAAATATATTACTGCTGCATCGCATATTTCCTTACCGGTAGATGTCGCGGTCTCAAAATAGATACCCGCGCGCATTCCACAGCTGCCCGCTCTCAAACCGACTGCCACAATTACGTAAAACCAATACACCTATCAAACCTTCCCACCATTTCAAACACATGACTCTCACCTAACTCTACTTCCAAACCATTCTTTACACATCTCGCGGGTATACTTCCCTGCGGTACCTCCGACACTTTCGTTTCTGCACCGCCTCGTCTCGATGCACATTCCCGTCTATTCTCCGTCGTCCGTATCCGCAGACGCCCGCACCCGCCGCTTTACGTACGACCCTCTCCTAAACCGGCATTCCCTAAATTCGTCGTCTCCCGTCCCGCATCAAAATGTTATTCGTTAAATCCTCTCCCGTAACCGATCGTCGCTTTCGCCGATTTCCCCGCAATTCCTCTACCGCGTGACTACTTCTTCTCTTCAAAATCCCCCTCGCATCTCTTTTTCACAATTACGCCGACTCGGTACTCGCACGTCAATTCCTTTAATGCCCTACGGAGTGTGTCGTTCCTTGTCCCCCACCGCCGTCCTTATCCCATTTTACTTTATATCTTTACTAATATATAACTACTCTCTGTCCTAAAAAACCACACCAAATAGTCATCATTTCTCCATTCTTATCAATTACCTCAACAACACCGTCTATGTCGGTCCGATCTCCCCCGTTCTTTTACTTTCGAGAGGCGCGCGTCCCCGCCGCCGCGTCGTCTCGTATTTACGCTGCCGTTATTTGCGGAGTTTGTCCCTCCACACGTGACTTTTTACGATCTATTTGCAACGTGTCTACGATGATCATCTTCAATAAATTCATTCTCGACACGTATCGACTTCCTCCGTCTTCGCGGAGTCGGTCTCTAAAAACAATACTACAAACGTTATAACAATCGTTACAAACAACACGTGCATTCATTTTACACATTACGCCGTCTTTAAAACCATCGCTATACAATAGTGATGCGCGTCCTCTTCTAAGTTGACGAGTATCTTCCCGCATTCGCGAATGTGGTATTCTTCCCGTGTTCCGGAGTATCTTCCTCGCGCGTCGACCGGCGTCTTCGTGGCGAGGCGTCTTCGTCTTCGGTTCCCGAATGTCTTCGTCCAAACCGCTCCGACGTGCCGACCGTACGATCCGTCTCGGACTCGTGTCGGCGCTCTCGTCCGCAACTGAAATGGACAAATTACTGTCAAAATATATAAACAATTATCTACTATTACAAATTAGATTAATTCCCAAACAAACTTCATCCAAGTTCATTCTTTCTACAGTATACCTATACACACTCACCCCACACAAACATATCTATACACTATTGCCAACTAAAACACACGAGCACACCCGCTGCAGTGCTCGACTACCCCGCAATTACATCCCGCGCAAATTACTTCTCCCGCTCGTGCCGCATCTCCGGAAATACCCGCGACCCCGTCGCCTAACACGAAATCAAACCGGATGCTCCTCCGCCCGTCGGTACGGCGCGCTCGTTGTCGCCGCCTCCAATACTTGACGATTATCAAAAGACATACGATATACTTATACATAACATATGATTAATTGTATGTATTCGTACCATTCACAAGAACTCGAGGAATCTATCAGACGATTGGGAAAGTCCACTCGATCCACGCCGGTGTACTTTACGACGGAATGTACGTCGTGCTCTCGAGGTCGTACCGTTGACGTCTAGCGAACGTAACTTCCGCGGAGGTCGCGTGAAAATATGCGACGACGGAGATCCGGTACGAGGATAAATGTATCGGAACTACGAGAGGTGTTGGCGGTGAACCAAAAACTACACTCGAAAGGAAATATCTCGGGTGCATCCGCGTGAACTCGATACGCCTCGTCTCCTCGGGAGACGCGTACCCGCGACGTGTACGGCGATCGGATGATCTCGCGTCCGTGTTCGAATAGTGCAATGTGTCGGAGGAGGATCAATAATTACACTTTTAAGGGAAGTGGATATACCCGCGCCACGAACGTTCGCCTTCCGTTTTAAGGGAGCGTCGCGTGTACCCGCCTCCGGCGTGCCGCGTTCCCGTTGTGACCCGCGACGTCCGTACAATAACGCCTACTTGCAATACGGTATAAAAAATAGGACATAAATACATATACCTCATCCTCCATTACAAGCTACTACATTCTTAACCCTTACACCCGAGGTGAAACTTCCACGACGTACATCTGGTCTCCCCTTTTTTGAGGGGGGAGAATTCATCTTGTTTCTCAATTTATCCCAATAGAAAGGGAGGGGGAAGTGCCAGCAGCACCCTAACCCATGGCTTATGGGTTAAACTCCCATTTTTTAATCATACTTTTCATATTGCATCCAACACTTTTAGACCAGATATGAGACCTTCAATTCTATATCTCTATGCTAAGTTAAGTACTCTCGTTATGACACTTGTAATGTCCGTCTACGCATTTTCGACGGCACCCGAGTCTCGTCGTCGGTGACATTTTCGTTTCTCCCTCGTCGTCTTTACGTTCTACTCTTTTACTCGTAAATTCCCGTCCTATTTCCTCTCGGTGATCGGTCAAAACTTCCTTCGATATTTCGACCGCGACGCGACCCCGCCGTTAATGATTCGCAGTCGGGTCGACGACGCGCCGCTTAATAAATTCTCGTCTCCCTTTAAAACCGTCGACTTACCCTACGCAATTCCTACGGACGCGCCGAGGCACGCCGCATGCGCATTCCTATTCTTCGAAGAACCGTTAAGTAAATGCCGTACACTGCGATATAAACATTACAATACGGCGTCGTCCGAGATTCTTACCCGCGACTCCCGCGTTTCGAGCGGCGTCCTCGGCCGGGGTCCGTCGAGTCGCCGGTCCGCACCGAAATGATGTTTCCGACTCCCGTCGGGCGACTCCGACCCGTGACTGCAAATGAAAAATTAAAGTTAAAAAATATACAAAGTCAATTAGGCATGTAAATTACACATGAACCCTTGACAACTAACCAAAATATCAGAGGACATTCTCTAAAGACCTGGATACATTTGCCAAACATACACTTTCCATTCGAAAATCTTACATACTTAGGCAGCTACCAAACGGGGAGATACCGCCTCCTCGGAAAATATTGGAAGCGTGACGTGTCGTCCGCGGTAGATCTCGCTGCTACGTGGCATCCCTAAAATTGTGACCGAGTCCCGGGTCGCTCGTCTGACTTTCTGCCTCCTTAACGCGCGATTGCGGGGTCTCAATTGTTTCTCTTACTACTGACAACACAACATAAATATATTGTTCCTCACTTTTCATTTTTTTCCATTTTCTATTTCTTTAAGGTTCTTTAGTATTATTGTTACATATAAACTAGGTTACCCAATATTTATGTCAATATGTTTGATTTTACTTCTGGAATAAAGCGCCACTTTCAATGCGCACCTTATGTTTTGGTTTTGTTTTTACGGACGGTCCCGAAAATATACCGGAGAGAGCGACGTCGTTTGTGTCGTCGTCCGAGCCTCTCGCGTCGTATTTCGTCGATATCCACCAAAAATGAACGCCGTAACTTCAATAATTATTATTATTACATTTTCGCCCCGATGTGGGTCGGTGACCCGTGCCCGGGTGGGCTAATTCCCATAAAAAAAATACGTATTATTTATTTATTTGGCACTTTCCGTACGTACGAGTGTCGACGAAATTAATCTGCCGTGATTTACGCGATCTCGTTTCTTGCGCACTTTCCGCGGGTCGCCGATTCGACGCGTACCCTCGTTCTACTCCGGGGGTCGAGTGGCCTCGGGTAGTCTCGTGGGCCCTTACGGATGCACGTCGAATACCCGACGACGACCGCTCCTGAATTTCGACGAGACGTTTCGTCGAACGCCGTTCCGGACCGTACTCTCGAACGCGACTGCGAGTGGCCTCGGACCAAACCCCGCGCCTCCTAAAATGCAGGCGAGCGAGGCTTCGGTCTGCGTGCTCGCCGATCGCCGCAATACGACACTAATTAAAACGCTGTGCACTGTATGGCAAGTCTACCCTACAATGAATCCCCAAATCTGCCGTATCAAACATTCACTTGCCTAAAACGGTTAGCACAAACACATCCACCCGGGCAAAAGAGGCGACTTCAATAGACTACTCTCGTTACCGACGACGAAATGTGCGGCGGAGGAGCCGCGCGCTCGGTCCGTGGGCGTCGAACCCGAGCGTTCCATTCGTCGCGGGCCGCGGTTCCACCGGAAGATGCCGTTCCTTAATTTCTGCAACGTGAACGCCCGTCCTCCCAATTTCTCGCACGGCGACCGCCGGACGCGACCGCCCGCAGATGCCCTCCGGGTCCCACGCCACCCAAAAAAACCCACCCGACAGTGGCGTACGAGTATTCTACGTGCGTCGCCGCGTTCGTTCTCCCGCCAATTCTCGACCCTGCGCATTTCGATGCGTTTTCCATTGAAGGACTAGGGTGTGGTTACCAAATTATTTGTTCCTCTAATTGACAAATAGACAACTTATAAACCCTTCTTCACACTCACACTTTCTAATTATAGTCTTATTTTATAGCAAACTCCAATAAACTTATCTAATATTTAGCCCATTAATATCAACACTAATAACTGGTCACTTCGACTAAGTGTGTGTAGTGTAATTGTAATCACACAAAATGTTACATTATTAATAAGGTGACCATCATATACTATAAAACTTATTAAATAAACCAATAAAACACAAGTGGAAGGAACGAGAGGTGGTAGGAGAGAGAGGTGGTATGTGGAGGGAAGGGATAGAGGGGTGGCGGAAGGATAATAGATAAGGAAAGGAAGAGTGGTACGTGAAGAAAGGGAGGGGGGACAAATGGTGGGATAGAGGGGTGGAAGGGAAAGGAAGAGTGGTAAGTGGAGGGAGGGATACATTTAGCTGGAGGAAGGGAGAGGAGGTAGGTGGAGGGAGGAAGCAATGGTAGGTAGAGGGAACAAGGGGTGGTAGGTGGAGGGAGGAAGGGGTGGTAGGTGGATGGAAGAAGGGGTGGTATGTGGAGGGAAGGGGAGGTGGTAGATGAATGGAAGAGGGGTCATATGTAGAGGGAGGGGTGGTACAGTCATCGGACTACCCGTTAATCTTTAACGTCGAGTGCCGGAGCGTGTCGCCGCCGTCGTTTTGGGGGTCGACCGTCGGGCAAGTTTTAGCATTCTTACTTAATGAAATACCGTACAGTATTACCCCGCCTAACGTGTTTTTTCATATACGCGGTGCCTCGCCAGAGCTGAACTTTCACTTAACACGGATTTTTTCCACATATACGAGGTGAGTGTCCGGCTCGAGACGCTATTTTTAGATTTGCCCCACCCGCCACCCTGCCTGACTGCCTGTTTTAGCTCATAAAATTCATACAAATTACCCGGCCAGAAAATAATTTACATTGCTGGAATTCTTATAATTTGGTGATCATTTTGAATATAAACATCATATATTTTGCATTAGACATACAAATTTTAGATAAAATGTTTTCTCTAGTAAATATGTTATCTTTTGTGCAAAATATATGACATTTATATTCAAAATATTCCTGGTCTTACAAAGAATCCAGCAATGTCAATTATATTATCCTAACTTTAGTTTGAGGTATTATTTATTACTAAAAAGTTAAATATTCTGGTTTCCCCACACATCTCCTTGGGACGGTTGGTGGGGGGTGGGGGGGAGGGAGGGACCGACCGACCATCTGTTACCCCGTGAAGAATTTTTTTTTTTTTTATTAACTGAAGATATTTGTTTTAGCTCATAAAATTCATACATATTACCCGGTCAGAATATAATTTACATTGCTGGAATTCTTATAATTTGGTGATCATTTTGAATATAAACATCATATATTTTGCATTAGACATACAAATTTTAGATAAAATGTTTTCTCTAGTAAATATGTTATCTTTTGTGCAAAATATATGATATTTATATTCAAAATATTCCTGGTCTTACAAGGAATCCAGCAATGTCAATTATATTATCCTAACTTTAATCTGAGGTATTATTTAATACAAAATGTTAAAATTTAGTTTTTTCACCCAACATCTCTTGAAGGGAGGATTGGTGGGGGGTGGGGGGAAGGGTTGGGACTGACCGCCGGTTGGAAGAGGGGGGTAGGCAAGGTGGGGTACTTTGATTGACAGATAGTGTCGTGAAGAATATATTTTTTTTATTAACTGAAGATATTTGTTTTAGCTCATAAAATTCATACAAATTACCCGGCCAGAATATAATTTACATTGCTGGAATTCTTATAATTTGGTGATCATTTTGAATATAAACATCATATATTTTGCATTAGACATACAAATTTTAGATAAAATGTTTTCTCTAGTAAATATGTTATCTTTTGTGCAAAATATATGATATTTATATTCAAAATATTCCTGGTCTTACAAGGAATCCAGCAATGTCAATTATATTATCCTAACTTTAATCTGAGGTATTATTTAATACAAAATTTTAAAATTTATTTTTTTCACCCAACATCTCTTGAAGGGAGGATTGGTGGGGGGTGGGGGGGAGGGTTGGGACTGACCGCCGGTTGGAAGAGGGGGGGAGGCAAGGTGGGGTACTTTGATTGACAGATAGTGTCGTGAAGAATATTTTTTTTTTATTAACTGATGATATTTGTTTTAGCTCATAAAATTCATACAAATTACCCGGCCAGAATATAATTTACATTGCTGGAATTCTTATAATTTGGTGATCATTTTGAATATAAACATCATATATTTTGCATTAGACATACAAATTTTAGATAAAATGTTTTCTAGTAAATATGTTATCTTTGCAAAATATATGACATTTATATTCAAAATATTCCTGGTCTTACAGGAATCCAGCAATGTCAATTGTATTATCCTAACTTTAGTTTGAGGTATTATTTATTAAAATTTAGTGGTTTTTCCCCAAAATTTCTCAGAGAGGAAGAGCCAGCAGTGTAGTGTGAGAAGAGGGAGGAGTTGAGTCCATTATATGAGTGGACATTAACTTGACGACTGTATTTCTATTTCTCTTGTATTAGTGTATGTACCATCATAAAAATTAAGATGTTATTTTTACTACAACATAGTTATGTGTCTTCAAAAGTGGAGTTTGGGGTCGGGCTGGTTTCTATTGGAATTAATCCCATATGTTCTGTTGTTCACTTAACGAGGACCCTCTGGGTTCTATTGACGCTTCGTACAATTGGGTACAACACATTACAAATACACGTATAATATGACCTTAAGCTAAAATAACTATTGACTGAGCTTTAGTTATAGCATCCATAAACGTAGAAAAACACGTACGATATTCTCGACGATCGTCTTACGTCGGAGAGCGGCACTCGCCGACCCGTCTCCGGAGCGGCGATCCACGGTCGTTCTTCGTGTCCGTCTCCCGGATCGCGCTTCCGCTGCCGTTGCCCGAGGCGACTTCTTCTGTGGGTTAAGTTTGTTATGTGAATGCTGCCTGCATTTAATAATTATACTGCACTACATCTATACAACCATTGCATAGGGTATTAAAAATCAATCGTAATGCCCTCATAAAATATCGTGTTGATAATTTTTAATTTCTATCGTGTACCGGCGAGCAGAGCGTCGAGTAGCCGGAGGCGTGTCCCGGGCCGACGGCGAGACGACACCCTACGTGATGGAACTACTCTGCGATCGTATCTAGTCTATTGCTAGAAAATGCAATACGCTGCACGCGAGACCGAGTAAACGGATACTTCTCGCAGACGACGACGGACCGTACGACTGCGCCACAGAGGCCGAATCTCGAGCGGTCGGCGACGGACCGCCGTCGACGGACGCGCGCGATAAAAATCGCCACGACTATTAACCGAACGTAGAAACGGCACGCCGACGTCGACGACCCGACGGCATTCTCGAATATTACGATCGACCTCTCTTCGTCGCCGACGCACGTACGGTACGACGTCGATGCGACGCGAGACGCATTCCTAGAGAGCTAATAGCTTTAAACCAAATTCGGACTCAATTAAAGTGGTTTCAATGGAACAATTTACTCTGGTACTCGAGACAAACGCAAAATACTAAAAAGACCGAGTATACCCAAATGCACCTCGGCCCATCTCCTACAAAACGTCGTTTTTGGTGGCGTCGCGTTAAAACGGACGCTCGTAAATCGACGCGGCTAAAATCGTGAGACGCGAAATGGCCCGTTTACTCGTGATCGGATTCCTGGCGGTTGATGCCAAGGTCTAGAGCTTATTTATTTATCTGTCCTTAACAGTGACTTTCAGTTTTTCTTTTATGAAATATCACTAAACTGACTTGGAATAGAATTAACATTGCTGGAATTCTTATAAAAATGTGATTACTTTCAATAGAAACATGCTATAGCTCACATACAAATTTTACTTGTAACTAATTTTATTACAAAGGGCTACAAATTTTTATGTCTTGTGCTAAATATACAACGTTTATGTTAAAATTATTAGCCGTCTTATAACGATTTTAGCAATGCAAATAAAATTCTCCTAACTTTGGTCTGTGACATTATTTAAGATAAAGCCCGGCGACACCGACGGTCGGCGCCCGGGTCTGTGGCGCGTTTTTTCCCGGCCGGGAAATGACCCGGGTCGATATAATTGACGTTGTTGGGATTCTTGGAACGTACCGATTAATATGTATATAAACGTGCTATAATTTCCACTAGACATAACAATTTTAGTACAAGAAAACTCCAGCTTTGCACTAAGGTCAATTATTTCTTTTAGTATGGTGTGTGCATGTAAATGGATGAAAATAAATGAAGAAATTCATGTAAATCTACCCAAAAATACAGTTGAAACACTTTATATTATAAAATGTACTACAGTACTGTACACTAATGTACAACAATTTTTATCTCTTGAGCAAAATATATGACGTTTACATTCAAATGATTGGCTGTCTTGCAAGGATTCCAGCAATGCAAATTATAATCTCCTAACTTTAGTCTGAAATATTATGTAAGATAAAAACTGTAAGCCTAAAACCCTGGCTGAACAGATGGGGGAGAGGAAGGAGAGAGTTAAGACGATACGTTTGACAGTTTGAGCCGAAGGTCTCTCTGTGTTTATTTAACGGTCCTACTAAGCTTCTCTCATTTTAAAATGCCAGTGAAATGACCTGGTACAATATAATTAACATTGCTGGGATTCTTGTAACATACTGATTAATTTGAATATAGACATGCTGTAATTTGCAAAACAATTTTGGTACCGTAATCAAATTAGTACGAGAACGCTCCGGCTTTGCACCGAGGTCGTTTATTTCTTTTACGTTTCTTTTATTATGGTGTGTGCATGTAAATGGATGAAAATAAATTAAGAAATTGATATAAATCTACCCAAAAATACAGTTGAAAAACTTTATATTATAAAATGTACTACAATTTTTATATCTTCAACAAAATATATATATAATGTTAATATTCAAATTATTGGCTGTCTTGCAAGGATTCCAGCTATGCAAATTGTAATCCCCTAACTTTAGTCTGAGATATTATATAAAATAAACACCTTAAAGCATAAAGTTATCACCAATGTTTTGTCTGGGAACACAAGGAGGGAGGTAGCCAGCGAGCATGGGAAGAAGGGGGAGAGGGGAAGTGAGGTGACGGAGTGTCTTTATTTATTTGAGATAAGATTTGACAGTTGGCGCTGAAGGCCTGCCCGAGTGTTTATTTATCATTACTTGAGAGTGACTAAGCTCTTCTCATAATTTGCCACCCAAACGACCTGGGTGAATATAACTTACATTGCTGGGATTCTTGTAAGATGGTATTTGAATATCTGTATAAACAATCTATATTTGCCATAGACATAACAATTTAAGTACCGTGATCGTTTAGTACACGTACGGTACGGGTTTGCACTTAGGTCCGTTGTTAACCGAGGGACCGCCGTATTGCAGTGTACTTATACTGTACAATATTGACTAAATTCACTAGATAACGTACATAACTAACGGTTGGTAAAACTTGTCGAGTCTCTCGGCACGAATGGCACGTGTTAGCGCTTGCGTCTCCCGTCGCGGAAGTCCGTTTTCTCTCGCTTCGGGATGCCCGAGTCCATTTTCTCTTAATCTTAGAGTGCAGTGCACCGGAGACTTCGTTATTCCTGGGTAATGACACAGAATTTGAAATTGCAACCCCAATTGCAACTGGGGTTGCAATTGTCGAGGCAACTAGGTATGTCCGATTACAGCAAATGTGTTATTGTCAATTTGTAGGTGAAAGATTTTATCCTCAATAGATGTAGGTTAACATTACACCTGTCTCCGTCAGGGGGTCCTGGAGTGGCGGTCCAGCAGGCGTCACGGAAGTGTTTTTTCGAGGGGGAGGGGGCACAGACGTATATGCTATTGGACGTTAACCGGCGCACGACCGTATATTTTTTTGAAAGATGCAAATCCTCCGAGGATTCGCATCGCACGTCACGCGAATTCGGATTGCGTGTCGTAAATGGACGCCGACGCCGTGCCGGTCATTACTGGTGTAATGATTGATTGTCAGACCAAAGCTTACAGCCCAGAATTATGTCACATATAACAGCAAGCACACTACAGACCTCGTGGTACCACCACATTCCGGGTTGACACGCCTCACGTCGACCCTAGGGACTTGACCTCGCCGCTAATGACGTGATTTAGCCGGGTGCCCTACAACCTCGCCTAACCAAGACACCTGGGCAGGACCACACCTGCACACAGCTATCCAGATCTAACCAGTTTAGTGATAATCGGTTAGAGGCCAAGAGCAGGTTGGGCCGACCCCATATAAAGGCCCTACAGTCCCGTCCACCATCATTCTCGTCATACTGATTCTCATTCTGGTTGCTGTCATCTCTCTCCCGTTCGGGTCGTCACTCGGTTCGCTGAGCAGAGTCACGCACGTCCCCTCCCCGGGTCGGGAGGGGGACTTCCCGACCAGACCACGGCATCGCCAGCTAAGCGGGTTCTCCCGTAGGAGGCAGCCCAGTCAGCACTCGCTGGGCCTACGTCAGGGTACACGTGAGTCTTGTCAGAACGTCCTAGGGTGAGTTACCTACTGTGGGAAGTGTATTCATTCGGGTGTGTCCGAGAGTCGGTGTCGAGTAACGTAAAACATAATGTGTTAGTACCCCGATATAATCGTAATATTAATGTGTCCATGTCATTGACTGAATTAAAGTATCGAAGAGGTGTTTAACAAGTTGTCCCTTTAAGAAGTGATATATGTGTATTGACACACGAGATAAGATCAGCGTATTGACGCTGAGTAAATAACATCCCGGCCACGCTACCAAGTTTCCTATCTTTACATCCCTACTCTCTATTCTTCCTACTTATATGTAATTCTCTTCTCTGTGAGCATCTCATTACACTGGGATCTTACGTCAAATGAACCGAGGAATTATCGGAAAGACGCGACGGGGCGAGAGGTGCTATTATTAGCCTTCGCGACGAGGGTATGCGCAACGCTCGAATAACTCGGCAGAATGGGGCGAGCGAACCCTCGGGCATCGCCGCGGGTTACCCGCCACGAAACGACCGGCGACGAGCCGATTTCAAATCTTATTTTGGCAGATTCCATTTACACCGATATACTGTATATTGCTGTAGCTGTTCACTCTAATATCAACTACTATTTGCTTAGTCACTCCTCATAAATCGTACGTGTCGTCGACGACCGTATTCTGCAACTCGGTACGAATGAAACGGTCACTACGACACGGTGGTGAAATGTCCGCCTCGAGGTCCGTCTCGGTTGTGATCCGAAACTCTTCCATTTAAAGTATATATCCATGCTATTGTAATCCTCAGTCAGGGGCTTCTTTACATATGCCTTGCTTCTACCCAGCACAATACATACATTAATAGAGCTTAATGGATTTCTTGTTATAGTAAAGCATATACTGTACGGTTGTATGTCACACGAGGATGACTCCCTCTCTCGCTACCCGCTGTCTATGGCTGTTGCTCGTATAGTGACCGGACGTACCTGTACCATTTTATGCTGATGCACTGGAGATCACATCAAAGTATTTCACCCAGCGTTTCAAATTTTACCGCTAGAAAATCCATCGATACTTTTTGGAGACTACATAATTGGGGGGGAATTTTTTTCATTGAAGAAAAGTATCTTGGCTTTTATAATGTGAGTCTATAGGTATACTGATTCGATTTACCATAGGTTTTTATAAGACACCGTACTCTTATAAACTGGGGAATACCTGTACAACTTTCCTAACATTCAAAGTACCACAACAATATTAAATACAATACCACAGACTACTTGAGGTCCAGTTAGCTTCAGGTCCAGTTAGGTCCAGTTAACTTTATATCCAGCCAACTTCATTCTAGTTCACATCAGGTCCACTTTAGGCAGTGATGGAGAAAGTACCTGAAAATATTACTTAAGATAAAGTACTGCACTGTTGATATGCAAACATTCAATATAAGTACTAGGTACTGTAGTCTTCTTCAAAACTATGCAAATAAAAGTTTCATGAACTGAATTGAAACATACAAGCAGAAAAAGGTATAAAAAGTTGTACTACAGCATTTGTAAAGAATCACAATTAATAAACAATGACATTATGTTTTGAAAACGAAGCTTAAAGTTATTAATATACTGTACTGTACTTAAAAAAACACGAAATAAACACACATTCAAAATTGGGTATGGGATGGAAAACGTGAATCTTGGCCGCAGTTTTGAGAGGTCCCGTACCGCCGACGCCAATGGGAAGTGACTTTAGACACAAACATTTACATAAATGTCCACTTTTATATGATTACTGTACAAGTGCACTTAAATACAAGTCCTCTAATACGCTCGGCTCGTACGCCCGACGACACGATGCGAAGTGACGACGTCGGTCTTGCCTCCCGCGGGTCGGCGGCGGCGTTTCTCCGTTTGCCGTTAACGGCGTCGTATGCGAGACCGGACGGGTCTGTACGGTCGAGTCTCCACTTGTCGTACCGAGATGTGTTGTTGGTCCTTGAAGTGTCCTGGAAATGTCACCAATAGCTATATAATACACAACACTGTAAAACTATTATAATATAGGCAGGGATTATCTGACCGGAACTCGGCACAATAACCGCCGGTTATTTGACGGAGATCTAAAATAAAACTAAATCCTCTTGTCAACACAAATTATACAATTAAATAATACCATAATGTAATGACTTGTTTAATGCCCCCAACCATCCCGACTACAATCCCATTAAAATCCCATACGATCCCCGCAGGTCCGGGTAAAATGGCCGACGGTTATTTGGCCCAGAATCCGGGTCAAATAACAACTTTGTATTAAAAATAAACATTACTTATTAGTTTAACACCACATGGAGAAACCGATTACTCAAATAGGTTACGTAAAGTTGAAATTATCTTTTCCCAACGGTTTTTATGGATATTTTGAACGATTATGACTTTTGGAAAATAGATGCACGGCCAAAACGATAATTTTACCAGTATTTATTTGGATTTTTTCTAATAAATTTATATGATCTTAATTTCCTTACACTAACAAAAACAATGAATCTTCCAAAAAAGTTACTTTCAACATGAAGTGTTAAAAAAAAACATTGAAAACCCTACCTAACCTAATCTAATCTAAATTAACCTAACTTCTTGCGATGGACGAGCAAAAATTTAATCGGCATACCCGGTTTCGCACAGTCCAATAGTGTTTACATTTCGTGGACGCGACCGACGTAGAACGAAACTGCGACGATGTCGACGGATTCTCATCGTGCTGCCGGGAGAAATGCACAATTTTGCGGGATTTATTCTTTAAATCTCTTTTGTTCGAATTTCACATAATCTGCTGTGACCAAACAGAGGACAGTGCAAATCTATTGCGATATTTATGCAGGAGCAAAAGCTTTTTTCTAGATATATTTAAGCCTCCCTCGTGACCTAAACGTTCAAGACGAGAACTGACTCGCCGACAAAACATCAAAACAAAAACTAAAACATTAAAGAAAAAACTTTTTCGGTTATCACTAGTTAAATACAGCTACTCCTCGACTTTCGACATACGACCGCCTCGGTCGTACCAAAATGTTGTCAAATTATGTACGGTGACCCCTCGTTTAACGAACGCCTCGGATAACGTAATTTCGATTAACGAACTGCCTTCCATAAGGATCTTCAATTCGGTTAACGAAAAAAAATTCGGTTAACGAAGTTCTTACGAACCGACCTCAACATGTTTTCGCTTGCACTGACCGGGCAACCAGCTTTAGTATCAGTCCGCCAATACATTAATCGGTTCTAGGGCTTAAATTCCTTACGATTTTAGTAAATATCAAGAAGTTTATACTATTCAATAATTTTAAAAGTTTAATATTCAATTTTTTAGTCATTTTAACAATTATTGAACATAATTGAAGGTAAAGTGACTCGTTTAATGCGCGGCATCCAGCCTCCTAACACAGCAAACAGGAGTTAGTCTCTCTCTGTTTTCACTGGAGGTAACATCTTCCTTGAGACTCTCTTCATCTAAACGCTTTTTTTCTGTGTTTCCAAGCAAATTATTGGTCATTTTGAAATATATTTTACATATTGACAATATATAATGCAGTGCAGTGTTGATTTAAAGAAAATAATCTTGAAATACACCAAGAGAACTAAAATTTTATGGGTGAAATGGTGCCATGGGGTGACTTCTCTTCTTCCTTCTCCTCCACCCCATTCTAAATCCCATCATCATCATCATCATCCAGGAGCCTTCTACATACACACCTCAAAGTAAGTGAACTTTTCTACCATTTTTGTTGAATTTAGGAAATTTTTGGTGAGCTGGAACCAATTGCCCAAAAACCCCATTGAAACAATGGTTTGGGTTATGAACGACCTTCTGGAACGGATTGAGTTCGTTAGCGGAGAGGAATCACTGTATTTTTGAATGCTGGCCGTAAGAGTGAGAGTTCTCGTGGTGCCGAGAAGAAGAATTGACACCCGTTTTAGATTTTCTATGTACGGTATTATTTTCGACTTGCGACCCGGTTGCCGGTCCCTAACCCCGTCGTCAGTCGGGGACCGACTGTACCGTAATGTGCTGGGTATATACCGTGGTACCCAGCCGCGGTCAATAAAACCCAGAGGGTACCATGTTAAGTGAAAACCACACTAAGTGAACAACAGAACATATGGGATTAATTCCAATAGAAACTGGCCCATCCCCAAACTCCACTTTTTCCGACACAATACCTATGTTCTAGTAAAAATAACATCTTAATTTTATGATGGTACATGCACACAATTAATACTTAAGAGAAATAGAGAAATACAGTCGCCAAGTTAATGTCCATTCAAATAATGGACTCAACTCCCTCCCCCTCTCTCACACAACACTGCTGGCTCTTCCCTCTCTGAGAAACTTTTTGGGGAAAACCACTAAATTTTAATAAATAATACCTCAAACTAAAGTTAGGATAATACAATTGACATTGCTGGATTCCTTGTAAGACCAGGAATATTTTGAATACAAATGTCATATATTTTGCACAAAAAATAACATATTTACTCAGAATAAACTTTATATCTAAAATTTGTATGTCTAATGCAAAATCTATGATCTTTATATTCAAAATGATCACCAAATTGTAAGAATTCCAACAATGTAAATTATATTCTGGCCGGGTAATTTGTATGAATTTTATGAGCTAAAACAAATATCTTCAGTTAATAAAAAAAAAATATTCTTCACGACACTATCTGTCAATCAAAGTACCCCACCTTGCCTCCCCCCCTCTTCCAACCGCGCAGTCAGTCCCAACCCTCCCCCCCACCCCCCACGAATCCTCCCTTCAAGAGATGTTGGGTGAAAAACTAAATTTTAACATTTAGTATTAAATAATACCTCAGAATAAAGTTAGGATAATATAATTGACATTGCTGGATTCCTTAAGACCAGGAATATTTTGAATATAAATGTCATATATTTTGCACAAAAGATAACATATCTACTCAGAGTAAACATTATATCTAAAATTTGTATGTCTAATGCAAAATCTATGATGTTTATATTCAAAATGATCACCAAATTGTAAGAATTCCAGCAATATAAATTATATTCTGGCCGGGTAATTTGTATGAATTTTAGGAGCTAAAAAAAATATCTTCAGTTAATAATAAAAAAAAAATATTCTTCTTATGGTAACAGATGGTCGGTCAGTCGGTCCCTCCCCCCCACCCCCCACCAACCCTCCCCACCAGATGTGTGGGAAAACCAGAATATTTACCTTTTTAGTAATAAATAATACCTCAAACTAAAGTTAGGATAATATAATTGACATTGCTGGATTCCTTGTAAGCCCAGGAATATTTTGAATACAAATGTCATATATTTTGCACAAAAAATAACATATTTACTCAGAGTAAACATTATATCTAAAATTTGTATGTCTAATGCAAAATCTATGATGTTTATATTCAAAATGATCATCATATTGTAAGAATTCCAGCAATGTAAATTATATTCTGGCCGGGTAATTTGTATGAATTTTATGAGCTAAAACAGGCAGGTGGCAGGGGCAAACCTAAAATAGCTCTCGAGCCGACACTGAGCGAGATACGTGAAAAACCCATCGCAAAAACCCGCTATGAAAGTTCAGCTTTCTGCGAGGCACCACGATAATGCGGAAATCACGCTTAAGCAAAAACCGTGTTAAGCGGGTATTACTGTACAGTTTTATGATGGTACATACACAGTTAATACTTAGAGAAATAAATAAATTCCTTCAAGTTAATGTCCATTCAAATAATGGACACGACTCCTCCCCCCTCACACACTACACTCGCTGGCTCTTCCCTCTGAGAAATTTTGGAAAACCAGTATAGTAATAAATAATACCTCAAACTAAAGTTGGATAATATAATTGACATTGCTGGATTCCTTGAAGAGGAATATTTTGAATATAAATGTCATATATTTTTCACAAAAGATAACATATTTACTCAGAGTAAACATTACATCTAAAATTTATATGTCTAATGCAAAATCTATGATGTTTATATTCAAAATGATCATCAAATTGTAAAATTCCAGCATTGTAAATTATGTTCTGGCGGTAATTTGTATGAATTTTATGAGCTAAAACAAATATCTTCAGTTAATAAAAAAAAATATTCTTCCGACACTATCTGTCAATCAAAGTACCCCACCTTGCCTCCTCCCCTCTTCCAACCGAGCCAGATGATCAATCCGTCCCAACCCTCCTCCCCACCCCCACCAACCCTCCCTTCAAGAAAGGGTGGGTGAAAAACTAGATTTTAACATTTAGTATAAAATAATACCTCAGATTAAAGTTAGGATAATATAATTGACATTGCTGGATTCCTTGTAAAACCAGGAATATTTTGAATATAAATGTCATATATTTTGCACAAAGAAAATATATTTACTCAGAGTAAACATTATACCTAAAAATTTTATGTCTAATGCAAAATATATGATGTTTATATTCAAAATGATCATCAAATTGTAAGAATTCCAGCAATGTAAATTATATTCTGACTGAGTACTTTGTATGAATTTTATGAGCTAAAACAAATATCTTTAGTTAATAAAAAAAATATTCTTCACACATGCCAGGTGGCGGTCACCAGTCCTCCCTACCCCCACCAACCCTCCCTACCAGATAAATGTGTGGGAATACCAGACTGTTTACCTTTTTAGTAATAAACAATAAATCAGACTACAGTTAGGATAATATAATTGACATTGCTGGATTCCTTGTAAGACCAGGAATATTTTGAATATAAATGTCATATATTTTGCACAAAAGATAACATATTTACTCAGAGTAAACATTATATCTAAAATTTGTATGTCTAATGCAAAATCTATGATGTTTATATTCAAAATGATCATCAAATTGTAAGAATTCCAGCAATGTAAAATTTATTCTGGCGGATAATTTGTATGAATTTTATGAGCTAAATAAAAAATTATACTTCACCCAGCGTGAGGGTACACCCACGGCGGAATGTGAGCATCCTGGGTTCTGGCAGGGCACCGCGTAGCGTGGAAAGAAGCGGAATGTGGGACGCGTAAGTGAGGGTTGACTGTAGTTTATTTTCAGTATACAGTGGTCCCTCGGTTAAGGCACAATCCGCTCCAGCAGGTTGCTCGTTAACCAATCTCGTTAACCGAAACCATTGTTTCAATGGGTTTTGGGTAGTGGTTCCAGCTCACCGATTGTAAATTCAACAAAAAGGTAGAAAAGTTCACTTACTTTGAGGTGTGTATGTAAGCTC